GTAATCAATTATCGCTCAAATTCGGATCACATGATCCTTCAGAAGCAGAACTTTCATCTAATTGGTTATCTCTACCTGGGACAGAGGTCCAGCTGAGACATTTCAATGAGGTTTTAAAAAATCCTGCCAAGCCGCAACATCCTTTTCGTAGTTAGGCAGGACTTCTCTTCGAGAGGGGCTCTTTCTTCCTAGGAATTCTCCCGTTTTAACGAATGCTACCAGAATTTCATTTCTTAGAAAAGTCCTGTCTAGCAGGGACTGTAGCCATATGTGATAACCTCTTTACATTACTTCAATGTGTCAGCTGATGGACCAGGGTGTTTCGGAGGCATTGAAGAAAAATCACAGACACAAACTTCCTTCGTCTCTTGTCCTAGCCATGGAGAAAGGGTGCGATATGATCAAGAAACTGAAGAAAATAGATATGCTGGATAGATAGCTCATTCTTGGAGTAAAAGCAAGCAGATAAGCCTCGTTCATTTCTGGAAGTTGCTAGACCATTTCAGGAAACGACTTTTACGAAAACAGAGAAGAGACAGAAAATTTTGAAATAGTTGACATATGTAAGAAAATTCCTGGCGGCGAAAAAGTTAAGATGTTGATGAATGAATGGGACAAGATGAAAATGGTGAGATTTTAGAACATACAAGAAATAGTTTTACCGGTGAAAGACAATGCAGATAAAAATGAAGATGAATCAGAAAACTAAGAGATTAAAGGCAATGGAAAAGCTAAAATGATGACCCATAGTAAAGGACTGAAGGCCTCTATGCTATGAGGAACAAGATGTGTCTGGTATGGACATTTTGTTCCACTGTCACCTAAGGGATGAAGCTACAGTACAGTAGAATAAGTGTGAGAGACAATCTACCATCACACGATATTTTCCTACCAAGAACTACTAATATTTTTTCTTCATTTTTTGTATGCAAGTTATTTTACTCAATTATATTAGGGTGTTTGCTCTTTTTATGACTCCTATCATGCTAGAACTTGCCATAAAAAATCAACATTAATTTAATTACATGCTGTACTTTTCTGTGTTCAATACTGTGCTACAAATGTCTAGAGCAATTTACAGTTAAATATTACGACTTCTGAAAAAATCGCCTCTTATTCCGTAAAACTTGACTTTTCGGAAAGGTCTCGCAGCCCATACTGTGTCGAGTTTGAGGGACTCTAGTGTCGTAATAGATTGATACAATCACCTACAGGAAGTTTGTACTCAGAATATTATAAACAAAACTTTTGGCAAAATCACATGGCCTAACAAAATAACAGAAATCAAAGGCCTTTTCGGAAGCAAAAACACAAGCGGAAATACTTCTGAATCAGTGGCTATTTGGTTGACTGTGCAGAGAGTGACAATATTGTAGATAAGAGTTGCAGACAGAAGTTCAGTTCAGACTTCAGCATGAAATAATTGGTGCAATTTGCATAAGATCTCGGCCAACTTCCATAGTTCAATGGTAGCCGACTTTCACAGTCGGCAGGATTAATGTATAAATACCTCTTTCCTATAAATTTTAATAATTAGTATAATCCCACTCTAAAGTAACTAAGTTTTATTTAATGTTTATCATTTATTTTTAATGTTTGTTAAAAAAAGGTACATGCAATTCATTCATAACCAAACACATAAATGTTTTTTTCAGGGATCTTAAAAAACTCTTTATAATTATATTGAACTTGTATACTCATAAATACATTTTACTAATGCATTCTCAAAAACAATAAGGATTGAAAAAAAACTGCAAGCTGATTCAACAACAGCCACAAACAGGCATCAATACTATTTTCAAAACAGTTCAGCAGTTTCTACACAGAAGGTATTTTTAAAGAATTCTGTTGAATATCATTATTAATTATGGAATTACTTAGCATAACTATAAATAAATAATTGTTTCTCTTGTCTTTGAGGAAAGTATGTTCCTGCAGTATCCAAACTTTAAACTTTCGCACGATATACTAAAACAATTTCCAGATAACACTTTGTCTTTTTTTTTATTATTATTATTATTTTTCAGATAATGACACTTTTTTCCCAATTAAATCTCTCTGATTGCAGTTGCAAATGATTCTAATAGATACAAACAAAAAACAAAAAAAGGGAAAGAAAGCAGGTTAGTGTTTGTTACGGTAATTAAAAAGCTTTTCAAACCATGCTATATAACACAGTTAACTGAAGAACAAAGCTAGTGGTTTTTCTTTGCTCCAAAACTAAGGAAACTGGGAATAAACGGCTCTACAATAAAAACTGTTAATTGAAAAATTAAAATTATTTTAAATAAACTGCCAGTTTAGCACGCTTTTTACAGAAAAAAAAAAATAATAATAACAGTTCAATTTTCCTACAAAACTGACATCAGTTCAACATATGGAGATTAAAACCAACATTTAATTAATTTGTTAAATTCAAACTGGATCATTAAACTCATTTATTTCCTTCCAGGCTAAATTTCAGAACCAGTGTATTCAGTTAGACGTGAGGCACATTATTAAGTGCCGCGTGCGTTACAAAACTATATATTAGAATATAGATACTAGGATGGTTAGTAAGCAGTCGCAGAAATTTTGAACAGCTTGAAATTTTTAAAAATTATAATACATATAATTTAAAACATGAAATTACTAAGTGTTAAAAATGGTGTCTTGTACCATCACTTTTGTTTCAAGTTATAATGATAAATTAAATATAACTACTGTTTGCTAAAACCCAAGCCGCATTTAAGGAGGGAAAAAACTGTATGCGGTTCTGAAGCAGCAGTTTAGCTATGCCCATCTTATAACATAGTTTCAAAAGCTACAGTGGCTCCCAAAAGTGTTCATACATTAGAGTTTCAGAGAAATATTGCTTTATTCATTAATAAAAGTTAATATTTTTAAATGAAAAGTTTTTAATAATATCTATCAATCTGAATTTGTCTTATCAAAACTTCATTCATTATTTTATGAAAATAATAGAACTCTTTCTTTTGAAAATCAATACTAAAAAAGTAATAGAAAAGTTACCTGACAAAAGTCTTCGTACGCTTTAAAGAAATCTGCACGTATTAATAAATACTGTAGCATTCCCGTCAGTTAGTATTTTATAGTATATCCTGCAGCATTTATGACAGCTTTCAAACATTTGGGCATAGAGTTTAACAGTTTTTTTGCAATACCTGCATGAATGTTCTTCCATCATTACTGTTTTTACTTCGGTTTTTGTTTTAATGTTGTCTTTTCATACTCTAACCTCTAATTTTTTCCAAATGCGTTCTGCTAGGTTAAAATCTAGTTACTAAGGTGGTGTTTTCGAAACTTGTGGACAATTATAGACACCCAAAAGATGATCATCGAGGGCTGTGGGCTTAGGATTGTTATCCTAATAAAAATAAAGTTGTTTCCAGTATTCAAATTTTGGGCAGATACTTTTAAATTATCTTTAAAATATTTAAATGAAGAGCACTATTCATTGTGCCATCAATAAATACTAAATTATTTAATCCTGATGCTGACATGCACCCTCACACAAGAATACCTCAACAGCTTTGCTTTACTGTTCCAGCCAAGGTCTTGGGATTAAGCTCATCATTTTCTTTTTCCATACAATTATACACCCAAATGAACCCAAAATTTAAATTTGCTTTCATCTGCAAATAACACGATTCCAATATGCTTCGGACTTATTTACCCTCAATTTTAATAAGAAAAGCCTAAACTTACTAATTTTTAAACTTTCAAAAAACTTTCTTCAAGCAGCGTAATCCAGCTGATCCGAGTACTCGACGAACAGTTTTGAGAGAAATTAAAGCAGAAAATTTTTCAGCAAACTCTGGAGAAATTGTTACAACACTCAAACATGGATTTTTCACATATTTTCTAACAATAAATCTCTGATCACTTTGAATCCTCTTTGACAGACCTCATCTTACTTTATTTTGCATTCGATTTTCTTCTTTAAAGCATTTCATCATATACGGTACTATTGAATACTATAAACTTACTAATTTAGCAATATCCCCAATTGAATTTCGAACTTTCTGATAAAAAAAGGATTAATTTTCGAATGCTGTTTGTTGTTTCCTTACGATGAATAGCCAATCTTAAACATTCAATAAAATATATCAAAGTAAGCAAGCAATAATTGTGTGTGTGTGTATTTAATTATGGCAAAGCGCACTAGGGCTATCTGCCTAAGGGGAGGGGATGCCTTTCGTGGAGGACTTTCTAAGGGAAACTGGCTCGTATACACGTTACACATGGGGAAAACCACGAAAACGCCCATGCAGCCAGCCCGTTCGCGGGATTCGAACCTCGGACCGAACTACCAGTGTTCAGCGTCTTTACCGCTCGGCCGCTGGTGGGCAAGCAAGCAATAAAATAAAGACAGTTTTTAAACGTCACCAAAATGCAAAAATATAAAAAAATTGGTAGACGATAATTTTATTTATGATATTTCACGAAAATGTTTCAGTATACTATCACTTTTGCGGTATACTATTTATCTATGCCTACTTACATTATCAATTTTAGAGGAAAAAATAAGTATGTATTAAAAATTAAAAAGTTTAGTTTTATTCAAAATCACATGGAGATGATGATGATATGAAAAAATACTGGGCCTTTGTATTTGAATTCAATTCCGGGTTATGGCGCTTTTTTTTGCAAATTCTATAAATGTACAAACACTTTTGGAAGACAGTATTTGGTAAAATCCTAGTATACGGTGCAGCCTTGGCGCGACTTTGAAAATTATCGCCAACATCAAAAATGATCCAAAGAACGTCTATATACTATGTGTGTATACATAGTATATACTATGTTTAACTATATATTTTCTTTGAATGACCCGTTAACTACTCATCGTATATGTCCCGCTTTTACTGCTCATCATAAAGTCGCCAAAAGTAGCATAATCCAGTGTGCACCGGATACTAGGATTAAACCCAGTATTTTTTAATTTAATTTAAAAAAATATTTAATTATAAATTTCTAATACGCAATACAATCCGTACCTTGTCGTGCTTTTTTTCGTGAAGGCATGATGTCAGAGTCAGATTTCACGAAACCAGAACTATAATACTACTTCGCACCTGAAATTTACAACAAAAAAAAAAAAAAAATTGGCTTGTATTATTAAATGCATAAAATATTAAACATATTTCTTGAATTAATGGAAATCAATGAATTAAGTAAGTTAGCGCTCAACTTCACGCACCTATCGCTATCAAAATACAACGTTCGCGCTTCTTCTCCTTCTCCTTCTTCGTTCGTCAATGAACGTCTAGAACAAGGAGGCTAACCTCCTTGTCTAAAACCAAGGAGGTTAGAATAGAAGGAGGGAAGTTTCAACTCAAACGGTGAAGCTTGGCGGCCATCTTCCTGTTATCACCGTGACTTGTGCAAGGAAGTCTGTCATTACAACATTTTTTTTCTTTTCTTTTTGAAGCATGTCAGCTTGTATTGCATATTAATGCACAAATAGATTCTCGAAAAAAATTCCGGGCATTATTTTTCACACGTAAGTATTAATTTTCTTTTTTTATGTAATATGACAACTATGTCAAAAAATATCACAATGTCATGTTGGTTTTCTTTCCAGATGTGAAAAAAAAGTACTTAAAATAGGTTAAAATAGGTTACGTAATATAACTATAATCAAAATATATTAAATACATTTTAATGTTTCTGTTTATAGCTGGTATCTTCGTTCTTCTTAAGATACAATGCTATATGGTAGGATTTAAATTGATAATTTTGAACGTTTTACTTAATTCGTTTTATAAACTTTCATGAAAAGTAAGAAATCAATTGTTACTACTTTTATTAATTGTAAAGGTGTTAAATAAAGCAATGCTTTTCTTTATATATTAATTATTATTCATTTTTTTAAGTTAAGATAAACTGTTCTGTTGTTAAAAATTTTTTGCATAAACTTACAAATTTCTGGGCAGTATAGTGATAAAATTAAGTAAAATATTTACACAATTGAACATGTGGAAAGATGTATCCAAAAACTTATATAGGTGTATTTCTGTAATTCAACTTAATTAAAGGCAGTTTCTTTGAGATTAATAAATGAAATGCGCATAAACTAAAATAAAATCAATGAATTCACATAAATCTGTTTTATTTTATTAAGATTTATTTTCTAACCTAAGCAAATTCGTGAAATATGCAGAAACATCATTTTTTAAAGGCTTTAATGTTATGCGCATGCATTTAGATTTCGAACTATTTCTTAATAATTTGCTGTACATAGTAAATTATGGATATCATCTTTATTACTTTAAAACAAATATTCAACAATAGCGAGGGATTTCATTATAAATTTAACATATTTTTACTGGAAAATAAATGCACGGAACAGCTTAGAAACACGTACATGTCACTGCCGTAATGCAATGTTTTGAAGTCACAAACATGGACGCCGCTTGTTCGGCGGAGTTTCATTCCCCGACAGTGGAGGAAACTGCGAACCCTCCCTCCTTCTATTCTAACCTCCTTGTCTAAAACAATATATATTCTTTGCCTACAGCGCCTTGGGCTCCTACGCATGCGCAATGCAACTTAAAAAAAAATAGAAGTGCGGACAAAGACGCGAATTTGGCTCCTTTAAGGACTTCGGCGACATTTTATTATGCCAACGGAAGTAAATATAATGTGAGGAATTTTTTAATCATTGGCATTGGCAAAGAATATGCATAGACGTTCTTTGGAATAGCAGCTAGGGAGAAGAGGAAAATATAACTTGAAAACCGGGTTAAGTTGTTTACATTTGTTTGGTAAATTATTGCTAATTTCGTTCTGTTAAACTAGCTAAATTAGCATTAAAAGTCGAGTAATGTGCATTTATGATGAAAACGCAGGACAATTACCTTTGTATCCGATTTCATATATGTATTAATATATGACATTCACGCTCATATGATCTTCGTATGTATCAATTAACTATCTACTTTTGTCACTTAGTTCTGGAAGTATATTATTTTACAACTTTTTCTGCTTTGGACACCTAAGTACTGAAACTTTATGTGTATGCTTGCGAAAATATTTCTGATTAAATTCTCGTATAATTACGATAGATATATGCTTCTATTATTTACTTTGAAATGTAGTATTTGATAGCCTTCCACATTCTAGCAGCCATTCTAGATTTGGTTCTGTAATGTTATATCTGTAGCAATCTGTAGAAGTCTTGCTTTGAGCAAGAAGAAAGGAGGTGAGGACTTTGGCGAACGCCGTTTCCTCCAGTCCGTGAGGCTCGGTAAGTTAGAAGAAGTTGGCGAGTAAACGACCCAACTTCGGAATTCTTAGATTGTTAACTAATTCTGCAGGAAGGAAGTATTGAATATTTTCTTTATCGCAGAATTTGGCGATATAGTTTCCTTAGATGATTGTATTTTTCACACTCATTCAGTCTGTGCTCAAAATCATCTTGTACTTTGCAAATTACGCATAAAAAAAAGGAGTGCTTGAAAGTTTTAACTTGAATTTAAGGTAGTTCGTGAGGATACTTCGAGTGAGGATTTTGTTAATTTTACATTCCATTTTCCTTGAGTCGGGCCAATTAATATTCAAGTATTTGGTATTTAAAACATTTTTAAAATAACAATAATACTTGGTATTCTGCCAGATGATATCGATTTCCCCCTCCCTGTCTTCCCCAATTTCTTTTTTGATATCCTGCCATGTATATACAGGGAGGATTGGAGTATTGCGTGAATTTACCGCCTGTTTAGCCAAAAAATATGCCCTTTCGTTGATCTCGATGCCTTTGTGACCAGGTATCCAACAAATTATAATCTTACTATTTGGCATGTTTTTGTAAATTTCATATCGAATATTCTCAATTATGTTGTTATTTGATTCTTCGAAGGAGGCAATAGCTTCTACTGCCGCAAAACTGTCAGTGAAAATTATCATCGCTTCGGAAAGGTTAGCTAGATATTTCAAAGTGTACCAAATTGCTGAAACTTCCGCAGTGTATATAAAAGCATTTCTTAGAATCTTGATGGCTCTGTTAATGGTATTTTGTAGATTTGTTATTCCAAAACCAGTTCCGTCCAAGTTTTTGGAGCCGTCTGATCCCCATACGTTTTCTGATTTAACATCTCCAGTCAAATTTTTGATAAAGGAGCATAATCAGTGACAAAATCGTGAAGATTCTTTAAATCAGTGTTACAGAATTTACTAAAATTTATCCAAGGCGGAACCCGTTTTTTTTTTTTCGGACAAAGTTATTATCTAAAATCCATTTAGATTCATAGCTGTCAAGAACAGCTCCTAAATCCTTTCTTTCTTTCTTAAACCTTCCGCCTTTAGTGGCGGGGGAAAAGTAAGCGGTTCCCCGAAATTTTTTATTTATGATGGATAATGTTCTTTACCATTTTTTTAACTTATTGTAATGCGGAATAGCTGCAATTCTCCTAATAACGTCGTTGGGAGCAAAATGACATACCCCTAAGGCTTTTCTAATCGCTTTATTGATGTATATATCGTACTTATTTTGGGAGGAGAGATATTCTCCCCACCTGATTTCACATACGTATATGAGTTGGGGAATCACGATTTGCTGGGTGATTTTTAGTAAGTTTTTTGTTCTCATTCCTTGAGTTGGGTGGGAGAGGATTTTGATCAAGTTTAAAGTGTTATTTAATATTTTAACTAGATAAGCCTCGTGTGCTCGCTAACTGAGGTTGTGTTCGAAAATAACGCCAAGTATTTTATGCTCTTTTTTCCATCCAATACTGAGAGCACCTATTCTAATGGGGAAGGAGTATTTCTTTCTTCCTCTTGAAAAGTCAATTAGAGTTCATTTCTCAAAAGGAGAAAGCAACCTTGTTTTCAGCAGACCAGCTAAGGATCTTCTTGAGAGTGTCTTGTAAGCAGGAATACCGGTTTAACAGTAACATGCGCATAGATATCATCAGCGTAAATGAAAAGCTCCTATCATTCAGTTTACAAAATTCCAACATGAAACAATTGTAGAGGAAAGGCGATAAAATGGCTCCTTGTGGAAGGCCCTTGGAGATGAGCTTTTCTGCGGAAAGGATAGATCTCGACTTTACAAAAATAGTACGATTAGTAATAAAATTGTAGATCCAAAGCACCAGGGTAGTGTTCATGCCCATCTTTTCCAGCCTTTCAGTCAAAATCTTATGTTGCACATTGTCGTATGCACCTTTGATATCTAAGCAAATTAAGTAATTTTCCAGATTTTTGCTTCTGGCTGACCAGATAGACTCATAAATGTCCCTAAGGCAGTCAGTTATGCTGATGCCTTTTCTAAAGCCATAAATATTTGAAGGAAAAATATTTTCTGTGTCAGCCCACCACTCTAAGCGTCGCATGATTATTTTTTCAAGGGTTTTCCCAATGACAGACGTTAAAGAAATTGGCCTGTAATTTGCAATCTGTCTCCCATTTTTATTCGGTTTTAAAATCGGAATAACCCGGGATGTTTTCCAGATTGTTGGAATATCGCTCGATTGCAGACTTTCATTATACATCTCAAGAAGGGCTTTCTGCGTATATCTAGAAGCGACTCTCAGACTGTTGTAAGTAGTTCCATCGGGACCCGGAGAGGAGTTTTTCCTATTCCTTAGTGCGTACATTAATTCTTTGGCGGAAATGGCTCAATTTTAGCCGAAAGAAAGTCGATAGGAGCCGACTGGGTAGTACTGTCTTTGGCGCTGTAATATTCGCGAAAATATCCGCCTGAGCAGCCTTGTCTAATACATCTGCGTTGGAGTGAGTGATCACAAAATTTACCTCCAAAGAAGAGACCAATAGATATTTTTTTAGGTTTTTTACATTTTTAAAGATTTGCTTGCAAGAATTGGATTCCTAGGAAATCTTTGCCCAGTACTTTCGTTTTGCTTTTATTACCTCTCTTTTGTATTTGGCGTTTGCACCCTTATACTCCACCAAACTGAACCATGGGTTTTTCGGCTCGACCTTGTAGATGATTTCTCTGGAGTGTATCTTGATAGTGCTGTTAATTACAGAGGTATAAGCTTTATCTTCTATATTACCAGCGTGGCTCACAGGCAAGCGTGACAGTGATAGACTGACATCTCGCCAATTTGTATAGCCTTTAGTTTTTCCAGGTCTCTTCTTAAAACTATGATTAAAATTAAGATACACAGGGAAATGATCACTTTGAGCCGTATCATCAAGTCTCTGGAACGACAGCTTGGACGCAATATTGACATTTGCCATACAAAGGTCGGGGATTCCTCCTTC